AGACAGCTTGATCTGAAGAAGTGTCTTCATAGTTTGTAGGACCGCAGTGGCCGGCTATCCATCATCATGAACCAAGATGGAACTTTTTTCGATCCTATCAGTGGCTCCACTCCAAGCGATTATACTGGATGCGACAACGAACAACCACATCGCCAGGACGGCCACATGTGGGTAATCGAAATGCAGGTCTAAAAAGAGAAGGGCGTCGAAACGTTAGCTAAATGAACGTCTTTATCAAACTCGGGTTAGTTTAATAAGATAAAAAGGCAAGACGGACCGATCACCATATGCAGCCATAATATGGAATTCATAACGGAAAAGTTCTATACCAATGTTTTCCTTTCCACAATCCCCGTCTCAGATGCCAGAATCTCTGCTGGAGAAAAACCGCAGAGGATTTCGCTCTCCGAAGTTCGCATTGCGACAGAAAGCATGAAGATAGGCGCAACCAAAAGGTACAATACCTTCAAAAACAGAAAGTCTTAGACCAGTGGAAAACGTCGTATACGATCGCCCTAACCATGGAGAGTGACCAAAGAGGTCTTCGTAACTATCTTTCGATAATTCAAAAGACCGGCTTTCTATTAATATCGGTGCAAATAATCGATATATATGTATGTACTTATGAACTGTCCTTGTTGACCTGATTCGAAGTTAGTATAAGTTGTCACTGTTGTTTTTGTTTGTGTTGTTCGATGGCTAACGTTTCGGCAACTTCGCCTTTCTGAGAGCAGTGCTGTTGTGTGTGTGGTCGCCCGTGTATTGTTCAGGTAAAATCTTCCGACATACTTGTTAAGTATGCTCTAAAAGCTGCCCCCGAAGACTGCCTTTTGCGCATATCTAAGATTTTATTTGGCACTCAACCAAGTGAACAAGCAGTATTCCCCTAAGAATTCTGCCCTTTAAACCACATCCAAACGATGTCAAGGATTATATAATTCTGTCCGGAGTACTACCCACCTCCTGTCCTTGCCTTCGTCGACCACGAAGAAAGTGTTTGACAGCGACCGAGCAACTCCAAGCCTATCAGCGCTCGCGGACCGAAGAGTGCATCCGTCCTATATAAGAGCTATAGCTGACTGTTGTCGGAACTGCACAATAAGGGTACAGCTTTTCCATCCACTCCACCATACCTATAGAATAATGAATTTGACAGCTCGACACAATACCGCTAAAGCTGTTTACTGCTAAACTGCAGTGGATGATGAAATCACTCGATTGCGACGAAAAGGCATATGAAACTGTGGAAAATTCCTATCAAATCTTCGTTCCACGGATGACATCGTCATCTTTTGGAATAGCACCAATGAAGCAGAAGAGATGCTCAGTGAGCTCAACGACGTTGGAAAAAAGATTGAACTGCGCATAAATATAACGAAGACCCAGTTCACGAAACATCCAAGCTGCGAAGGCGATGAAATCAAACTGCATTGTTAAGAGACTACAGAGACCACATCATACATGTATACTGAGCGTTCAATGAACATGGTTAAGAACATGAAAGAGGAGTTATACAGTGAAAGGAGAGTAGCATGGGCCCCATTCGGGCCTCTCAGAGAAGCCAACAGCCAACTACTGAATGCAAAAGTTCGGGCCTCATTTTGAACCCAGCGGTCCTCCCAGGTCTCCCTTATGCAGCAGAAACATCGGCTGGTATTGAACTACGTCAAGAACTCTGTGCACCACCTACAGATCATTTGAACAGTGTCTTCTGGAATTTAACGGGTACTCACAAAGTGTAGTTGGAATGCTCAGCTCAGGTCTTCGAAACCTATCTCATCTTAGCGATCCACGAGAACACATCATTTGCGAAGCACAGATTGGCTGGTCATATAATGAGAACAAAAGACAACAGATAGACGAAAAGAACAGTGGACTCCAAGAGAATGCAAACATCCTACTGGACGACCGTTCAAACAATAGATGAACGGGTTCGCGAATAACGTCAACCATCTACATCCGCAAATGGGAAAGGTTTACGGAATGGGCCTCGCGGACCTCACCTTGTTCAAAGAAGTTTGTCACAATAGATAACGATTGCGAAAGAAAAAAACGAATTGAAATTGCACTGGGGCACTCAGCACCGGTGTAGGCTGGCCATCGAATTGCCCAAGTATCCAAGTAAGCACTCTATACATATAGCAGGTCAAGAGTACAAGTCTGGAACGTTTTTATTTGTTTTAAACAACTGCTATGTTCTCTTAGAAATGAATTATTGTTATTATAGTCGAATCTGGAAGAACTGAATTTCTAAACAGTAGCTTAAAATTGTATAATGAAAAAAGCGCTGTGCTCATCTCTGAAGGGCAAACAGATCATATTCATTACGCTCATAGATATGGACATGTTCACATGAAATGAAGATGTATATGCTCACATACAGTGATTTTTAGTTCATTAATTCTGGTCACTGGTGATGAGAGTTATTCATGGTTTAGAGTTACTAGTGTTCTTTGTAGACAATTTAGGCATTCTAGCAGTTTTAACGTTCGTCAAAGCGTTACCTTATTATAGACAAGTATTCAGATTACGTCACGCTCTGAATCACTTTGTCGTCGATATGCACTTCATAAACTGTGTAATTACATCAGAAATCAAATATTCTATCAAAATCCTGGAGGTAGAGCAAGATGGGATGGTTGAGTGATGTAACTCAACGGTAGCGAAAATTCTTTCAGTAAAGCTAGAGAGGAAATTGTCAAAGAATCATGTGAACGACGGCAAACAACAATGCCTCTACTGTCATTACGGGATTGCAATCTACATCTGATCTTACTACGGTAATACAAAGTTACTTCAACGCAGGTTTTTGAATAAATTAACTGGATGACCCATCTTTAAATCCTACGCATGCTCCAGTGACTCCTCCATTTATTTTATTGTTTTGCAACCTCATTTTCAATGATGGCTGGGATTACGTGGCTCGCTATTGGATAGATTATCAGAAGTTTTCTAACTGACTTGTTAAATGCAAATAGAGGTTGGCTTCATCCCCGGGTCACTAAAAATACCATACCAGATCGTCCCCACGTCTTATCATGGACAGTTCCCAGGTATTGTCGATCGGAAAGTTTACTGTGTGCTGCGATTGAGGCTCTTCCAGAACGCTAAACATTCTTGCAACTGTTCAATCGGAGGTTTGAGGGCGATGTGACAATTTGAATTATCCAGTCAGTCAAAGTTCCTAACATATTAGTGAGCGAATACAACACTTCGTTTCGACAGTTTTTTAGATTCAACCATTTGATGGACCTATTCCTAATCTTCATTTCCGTTCTAGTTTGGATTTTCATGCGCTAATGCGCTACATGCGGAAATGAAAAGTGCTTAATAAAAAGAAGCAATGCATGTTACTTCACAAAATGAGAGACTTACACGAGCAGGCCAAACATGTTATTGAACAAAGGAGTTTTGTGTAAGCACGTAATGCTTTGAAAATAAGACGATAAATCATATCTATGCCGTCACAACATCCATTAAAATATCCTGTGAGAAAAGCAAAAGACACCTACCTCTATGTCCTACTTTCATCGGCTTCAGCAGGTTGTTCGATTTCCTTGAGCTGGAAGCGATAAAGGAAGCTTTAAGCTACCAGGTTACACTGCATAAGGTGCTAATATCCTTCACAGAAGCTATCTATCTATAAGAACCACACTGCAGTCGCGACAACTTGAAATTAGCTTTATTTACAGTAGACTTCACAGTAGACTGAAGAATATTATTCACAAACGTGTAACGAAATTATGCGGTACTTACTGCAGTGTTTAATATCACATTGTATAAAATAGAAGGAATTAGGATTTGTGGTAAAACAAAACAAAACGAATGTTGACATTACAGAAATGAGCAATAATCGAACTGTGCACGAAATGGGAACCTAAGGACTGAAAAGAAAGAATCCCGTCTTTTGCCTTACGGCTCCATTTCAGATCTGATTAAAGATAACATACAAACCACAAAATATGTAATAATTACCTATGAATGATGTTAAATTTAGTGAATACTCATACTTCCAATGTCTTTCTCCAGTTTTCCAGTTGCTGTATCTTCCAGAAGGGTAGCACTAAGATGAAGACGATTCCGTACTTCCTAAAACAAGATGAACGATCAATCTCAACATAAGACGTTATCTTATACAAACGGACATGTGGTTTAAAACTCTGTGGATTCATAGCAGATTCTATAGATCTTCTTCACCACAGCTTTCTCACTTGTCCGATTGCTAACGCGCTTAAAATAAGAGTTTTGATGAACAAAAAAGTGAAGGAACTGTGTGTCATGGGCTCCAAAAATCCAGAACTCCATTTTTGTAGAATAAGATAGGATGTGTTTTGTAGGTACAAGACTTTGTATGCTAGCAGTTTTTTCAACTAGTGAAATTTTGTTTAAGATGAGACAGACTAGTTAGAAATTGAAAGTGGCCATAAATTAGCATAAAAGGTATTGTAGCCAATCTATTACCAAGTGTTAAAAACACGTTTGCTGAGAAGGACAGTTTTGCAAGAGGCTTAGTGCGACGGAGCATATCCACGTAAGTGCGAAACTCAGTGAAGGTAACGATGAAGTATAATAAGCCACTACCTCGCCTCAAACAAATGGCGCGGATAGCGCAGTGGTCGGAAGCGCCCTGCAATACACACATGGGATTGATCATCACCGTGCCCGTGGTTCACCAAGCTTTCCATCTCTCTGCGTGGGCAAACTGGTACCAGACTTGTCTGGGAGGATACGACCACTAGCTCGATGCATCGATAGAGAACCTCGAGTCATTGCAAAAGCCAGATATATATTCAATCACCTCTAACGATTCTTAGTGAAGCCGAATGCATGGCGCATCCCTCAGGGATTGATCAACGCTGGAAGTTTCATCCTTTATCCTTTATGTCTCACGCACATCAACGTAGAGAACAATTTTGGCTCCTTTGGAAGAGAAACTACCACAAAAGCCCTACACTGTAAACGAGTCACTAGACAAAACATGACGACTTTTCATGTGTTGTGCAGTATTCATGACAGGAATTTTTCCGTTCTACAACACCAAAAAGAGGAGGGCGAAAACGCCGTAGATTCTCATAAAAACTACTCAGCGCCAATCTCGAAAACACCCATGCAATAACTGGAATAAGAGAATATGATAGTAAAGCGCCACTGGTCTCCAACCTTATGATCTACACTTTTCTGATGACACTCTCTTACAACACCTAAATGGGTCAGATGAAACGAATGCTAGTCGATTCCAACAACTTGAGCAGTCAAACTGGTCCTCAACTTTACCTTCTCAGGAAAACAATAATTGGAAACAAAACAGGACCATGCACAATGCAAATAAGAGAGAAGATTCGAAGCTCTAAACACGTCTAAAGACCAAATACACAGTCCCATAAGCCTAGATGTCGAGTCCACGACGTGGTGTTTTATGGAACCCCATCAACCCAACAGTGATTTCATTACGAAGATCCTATAGGAAAAATACGATCTCCTACTCTCAAGAATTAAGAGAATGCATTGAACTATTCCCTACGTGAAAGGGACAAAATGGAGACTTTAAGGGCGCCCGCTAGGCTCATTCGAAAACTAATGCGAGAATAACTGAACGTAAGATTTAAAAGAAAAGTTTATCGCTTACTTTGTCGTTGGATTCGGATGTATGGTATGCGTAGTGACGCCGTGTAGGTCGAAAAGGCTTCAGATTTGTACCTGGTTTGACAACCATGTAATTTATAACGTCGGAAAGCGAAATGATACCCTAAACAGATCTCATAAGAATCGTTGATTCTGTGATGTATAACTAACGTTGTTTTAAAGAAGAATGAACAAACTACTCGAAAGAGTTATAAAAAAGAACGAACAAAAATGCTAACCTCAATGGCGCCCTTCTCATTGACGGCACACAGACGATGAACATTTCTCTCTACCAGCACTGTAATTGCTTTCCATAACGTGTCCGTGTCTTTCACCGATACTACACGGTCCTTATTGTCCTAGACTCCAAAAAAAAAATGGTTAAAGATATATCTAATAACACGCGTTAGCTTATAAGAACGAAAATTCACTCTGTCAAAATTCTTGAATTTCAGCGCCTGCTCCACAGTGACACCTAAACAAGCGTTCTCCTCTAACGCGATACCAACTGCGTCGAAACGCGAGTATATGTCAACAACCCTTAAGTAAAAACAATGCTGGGCAACGAATTCGACATATTAATGGTGAAAAAGCCCTCTGAAATAACTCTAGTTGATGATCGCTCATAAATAAACTAACTTAAAAGTATCACGCTCAACTACTGGTACACCTGAGACTCCTTTGTTAAGCAAAATGTCCAGACAGTCGGTCAAAAGAGTATCCGGAAAAACCTGGATATCTATGCTACAACATGATCACGAAATATAGAAAAAGAGACCACTACGAAAATCGACAAAAAACAATCAAGAAGGCAAGAAAAACGAACGAGAGGAAGGAAAAGTTACAATAAAGGCATTGAGAACGCTTTAAACTAGAAACAGACCACACGTATCCCAACCCAAGATCCCACGTTCAAGTCTTTAGCCGTACGGACGTGGAATTCCGGATGAAAAAACTGCTGACCCTGTATGTGTAATGTAATGCTTAAGAATGAACTCCAATATTAAACCACTGGTAAAAAAGATTCATCAAAAGTAAAACTGAACACGAACAAAACACCAGAGAAATTTGAGTAGCCGTTTATGAGTAAGAATAAACAGTGGACTGCCAGTATCCGGATCGAAAACTGGCAAACGATGTACTCGATGTTGAACAAGTAATCGAGCCGCTTCCAGCAAACTTGAAGTATAACCATGAGATCGAACAGAAACAAAGCAAAGAAGCAATTTCTGAGATAGTACCTGTCATCAGCGCTAATACATACCAATTCCTTCAACTTTCCTTCTTTTTGCACTAGTTCTGAACGAGACTGAAGAATGATCTACCTATTCGAACAATTAAACACTATATCAACCTCTATACTTTCGTATGGTCAGCTTTCCAATATCCTCTTTCGGATCCACTATGTCACTCTGTTTTCGTTCCCTAAAGATGGGACATTAATCGGTAACATCTCGTAAAATTAGAAATTTCTGCATGTTTTTGGACGGAATATCGTTTTTATCTTCTCGAACCTATTTGTTTGAGATATACTACTCTGAAATTCCTCGCATTCAACCCAATATCAGTTTATGACAAACAAGAACTGGTGAAATTCACTACTTCTACTAAGTAGATGCCATTGATTCCAAATCAACCACACTACTATATTGCTCTACGAGTCAGATATTTTCAATTTTTGACAAAAACGGAGCTAATAAACCGTGTAGATTCGACCTATCCTAAGTCTCCTACTTCTTCAACGGAATGGGATCATAAAGTACTTCATAGAATTCATAACACCTGGAAAAAAAAAGAAAGATTTGTACCTGTGTAACATTAGTATTACTCGGATAAAATCTGTAACTGACAGAATGCCAGTAATTAATCCACCCTTCTCGCCATTCGATAACAACACATGTCGCGTGTCTGAATGAAAACGTACAGATTGAGAACGACAATCCAAACCAGTCAATACTTTAACCAAATCTTAGTGATCAATCGTAAACATGAGATAAACACAAAGGTGAAAGAGCAGCGTCCGGTGTAGAGATTAAGCAGATTACATATGTCTGTTACTCATGAACTAAAAGTTCGGAGTTTTCATTGGAACGTTCACTTGGCCTAGGAGGCAGGCTCAGCGACTAAGAGTCTGATGGACATTTCTCATTCATACAACGATACTTCGAATCATAAAACTGAGATTTCCCGAACTAAAAGTTTATGAAGAACTATTATGAATAATGACTCAAGTAAAGAACATTGAAAACAAGGGAAGGATAGAGATTTTAATCTTAGAAGCCCCTTCGATCTCTTCCTGGTACAATCTGCATGAATTGTATGTTTAAGGAGAACCTCCATAATTAAAAAATAAACAGATCCTCCAGCATATTCTACGTCTAACTTACATCGTTACTCAGATACAATATGAAGTAGTAGTCGATGTCATTCACCTTTCTTCGCTTCAGAGTCGAATCAATGTAAAATAGTTGAGAAAAAAGAAAAAGCAGGACTTACTTTGATAAATAAGTCCATTAAAAGCTTTCCACAATATAAGCTCCGTATCAAATATGACCACTTTACTTGATGTTGGCATCGCTTCGTAGCATTGATTCATTTGAAGAAGACGAGCATACGAATCGGGTTCATGATATGGGACCTGTAAGAAGGACCAGAATCGTTCATCACCCTAGAACATAAGAATCAGCACATAAACAGTAAATTCTAAAATTGAACAACTATTATAACCATAACGAAGCTGAGATATTTGCAAAACTCAGGACCTCAGATGTCTGCAGTGGGGAACGAACGCGCTATTACCCTTTCCGGTCGCTAACGCGATCACCACCACCCCATGCGGGTCAATCGTTTCGCCGTTCTCTGAGCTAGTTTTCTATCTACCAGTGCTCTCAGTAGTCACCCCTATTTGTATAACCACAAAATCACTGATCACTACAAAATTATGAAAAGGATGAAAAGGTCTCAGTGTTGATCAATCCTTGAGAGATGCGCCATGCATTCGACTTCATTAAGCATCGTTGGAGGTAATTAAATCCACATCTGACCTTTACAATGACTCGCAGTGGCCTAACGATGTATCGGACCACTGCTGCGCTGACCCAGGAGGGATGGAAGGCTTGGTCGATCAGGCGCGCGGAAATCAATTCCACATGTGTGTTGCAGGGCCCCTCCGACCACTGCGCCACACGCGTCCTTACAAAATTATAGTAGGCAACATAGAAAAAGTTAACAATCAATATGATTGAAAACCTCTGAAGCAGATTTTTCTAGAACACTGCGAGCATGTCTGAGTCCATGGAAAGAGTGCGGCACCGATCGGACCGACGATGACTGCGTGCTAGCAGATCTCATTGCTATGGTAGAACGAGGCGATATCGATTCGGAATGTGACATCTCTAGTCTTCTATAAACAGAAATAGTTTGAAAGTATAATATTTCAGAACACTTTTAATACAACCGAAGAAATGACACAATTTTGCTGCAGAATCACAATTTTAAGAAAGACACTCACGTCACAACCACAGCAACAATAACAACTACTACAACAACAACAACGACAACGACAACAACAACAAAATATCATCGAACCACCACATTCATATCTGTGGTGTTGTTCAGTGTAATAGAAACACTTGTGAGAGACATCGATATCAACTAGCCGCAGAAAAATCTATGTGAAAACCTGTGCCATGACAGACAGAGAGAAAAGATCGATGATGCTGATTAAGCTACAAGGTTTTGACTGAAAAATGTTATAAAAATACTACACATATAAGTGCTGGACCAGTTGTCTAGTCTGGTAGGACGTCGACGCACTAAAGCAGTATGTTCATAATTGAAATATTACTACAGTAAAGTATTGTCAACAAATCCTGTCTATTGTTTTATTGTAGCTTGAACACGATATTCCAAATACTAAGAAGACGTCAGAATCCGATATGATGAATTAAAAGCTCCAATTAAACAGAAATATTGTAGAGATACAAAGTGATCCTATCTATGAACCACAGAATAGCAACAAGTCTTCTATCTATAAAAGATCTGAGGCTCTCAGCGTTGATCAATCTCAGAGATGCGCCATGCATTCGACTTCATTTAGCATCGTTTCGAGATAATTCAGTGCATATCCGGCCTTTACAACGACTCCCAGTAGCCTACGGATGTATCGAGGCAGCTCTGCTATCCTCTCAGACAAGTTTGGTACCAATCTGCCGGCACCGGAGCAATAGAGGGCTTGGTGGGCCTGTGGCTTGGGATCCCAAATGCATTGCAGAGTGCCTCCGACTATTGCACCACACCTGCCGCTTCTATCTTTACATGCCGAAAATACACTTACTTTTAAGGTATTAGAGACTTTTAGTAGAATTTAGTGTTGAATGCCATTAACATATAGATCATAGTGATGATGCTCTAACCTTACAACCTTTGTGATTCGACGTCGTGAGTGAGAAGTAAAGTAAAGAGCCAGTAGCCAACTAGAACAGCCTATCTAGAGATTCATCAATGTCCATAGTTAATTTAAATGCCGAAGTAGGATAGTACTGCCCAGTAGTACGTCAGCTACTTAGAGATTTACTATGTGAAGTGCAGATCTGGTACAGTTACTAGTTAACAAAAGATAACTCAGAAAACTATTGAAGTAAAGAACAATGAAAACATTGCTGTGTAGCACAAATGGGTTGGAAATCTCTATAGAAACGTTCAGCACCTAGCCAAGAATTGACTCTAACGATTTCAAAACACTCCGAATAGACATCGAGAGCAGAATATTCGAGATGACAACAAAAGCATGTATAGCAAGGAACTTAGCGGTATAGATCTGAAGAGCTTAAACAACTTACTACTTTGTGCCAATGGAACATCGCTTTCGTAGAAAACAACTACTCAGAGTTTTAAAGGTTTAGGTAAAAGTATGTGAAGCAGAACCCATAGTGTTTACATGAGAAACAACAACTGACGGAACCGCCTTTAACAACAACAAGTTCCTTTATAATAAAGTGTAATCATGAATCTGCCAGCCCACGCCAGGGTCTCCCAGGTTGAGATGGAGTCTGGCATTTCTATCAAGATATACAGCTAAGAGTAAACCAATACTAGGATCTACCACCGTCCTGGTATCAAACTAGTCGCATGGTGCAAATCTCCCTCTGATCCACAAAGACGGCCACTGCCCTGTGGTGGTGACGATCTGGGATACACTTTGGCCAGGCGGGCCTCGGGATTCCAGGAAAACAATGGCTAAACTAGCAAAACTCCGAGAGGTGGAGTGTGCTGGCGCCCTCACGACCAGTGAAGTGGAGTCAACCAAGTATGCAAGTAAGTGAGGTGTAATGATGAATATAACACTAGAATAGACAAAACCTAAACGAGAGCCAACTGTGGAGACGAATGTTGTATGAAAAGATGTATAAAGGCGGACTATTCTAACTACAAACTACTATACTACTATTATTATATTAGTGTATTACTACTACACTACTATACTGTTTTACTATACTACTACTATTATACTACTGTATAACTATACTATCTCGGGATAATATTGCAAGCGTATGGATGAGAAATGCCAGTCTAACAGCACTATGCAGCCGACGCAGAATCACTTGCCTTGCAAATGCATTTCGGGGACAAGTGGGATAAGATCCAGGGCTTCTCTAATGTATACAACAGCAATGCATGTGTATATATATATATGCAGTATACATACGCATACATATGCATATATATGTATACATCAACATATATGCGTACACACGTGTATATATGCAAATATATGTACATGTATATACATGTATATATATATGGTCCAGTATATAGATAAAACGACACCTTCTAAGGTATGTACAGCGTACGTAGCACTGTGGTTAGCTAGAGGCGCCCTGCAATACGCAAGGATCGATCCTGCGCCCCATGCTCGCCAAGGTTTCCTTATCTCTGGGGTCAGCGAGTTGGTACCAGACTTGTCTGGGAAGATAGTAGCACTGGCTCGATAGATCGGTAGGCCACCAAGAGTCATTATGTAAGCTAGATGTGCATTCAGTCACCTTTAAGGATGCTTAATTAAGTCCAAACTGTGGAGCATCCCTCAGGGACTTATCAACGCCGAGAATTTTATGCATTATCCTTCTACAGCAAACAGGCTTTCTTAAATTATCACCGTTTTGTTCGTTCTTTCCTTCGGTTCTTCTGTTCTTTCTTTCTTCTTTGTTCGCTATTTTTTCGTTGGAGACCTGCTGCACAGTCTTGTGTGCTTGGGAAATATGCCTGGCTCCGGTTGAAAAGCCAGCTTGAGGTATGACGCTTGATCACAAAGTACTTCCCCTGCTGTTCATTCCTGGAAACTGACCAAAACGCTTCAAGACTTCTACGTGCTGGTGTTTTTGATTTCAGTGCGATGATAGTAGCATTTATTTCAATATCTTCTGTTATGCTTTTCGTGTCCTTTGCGAGCTTCGTTGTTTTTAAGTTTCCTAAACACGTGGTCTTTTACAAGGGCGTAGAGTCCACTATTCTTTTCACTGATGTATTCGTCCCGGCACGTTTTAGAAGTGACTATGTACACTGAAACCTGAACTCTGCAATCGCCGCCTCTTCTGCTGTGGCGACGAATGCACTTCTGTTGTACAAGGACGCTCATTCAATCACTCATGAACTAGTTGACGACGTGGAATGTTCGGTGGGAGTCTACTAGCTGTTACCGACTTCTGTAGCACGGTTCTTTTCAAACATAGCTTTAGAGCCGTACTTATTTCATTGGAAATCAAGGGCATCTTAAACGTTTTCTCCAAACTCATCGTTTTGAGGGGTGATTTGTCCTCTAAACCTGGCACGAGTGGCTACCGTTTCGTAGCCATTGAAAATGACTATTTTACGGCAAAGTCTAGCGATTCCTCCTTCTGCTCTTTTCCTGTGCACACATTGGCGGATGTTTGAAACATGTTTCCCACAAGCGCCCTTTTCGTGTGTGAAGGGTGAGAGGATAGGAAATGAACAACTATTTTTTGTCACTTGCGTCTCGTATCACTTGGTGATGTAGCCGTTTTTACAGGCTAACGTGTACATTCAAGAACGGAAGCAAATATTTATTTCGTTTCTCTCGAATGAAATTTGTGTACTATAACTGTTGATTTCGCGATTCAAAACATTTGTCCCTCGCCTCTTGTGTTGATCACATGACGAAACAGTCTTTAATAGGGGTAAAACATGGAATGGGTCGAAGTGGAAAGGGAGAAAGTTTAAAAGCATCAGCTATTTCGCAACTTAAAACTGAGTCACCAACAAATCTCATAATTTATTTACCTATCAAAACTCACTCCTCCCACTGGTTTACCTCCTTATCGTGACTGGGAGGTCTTCCTGGGTGTCGGACTGCGATGTATAGCGCGGGATTCACCCGTTTGCAGTGTCTCCTAAGCTGAGAAGGAGTCCGACGTTTCCATCAGGGAGCTTAGCTAAGAGTAAACCAATACCAGGATCCACCACCGTCCTGGTATCAAAGTCGCATGGTGGTAAATCTCTCTCTGATCCACAGGGGCTGCGACTGCTTGTGGTGGTGAAGACATGGCGCAGACTTAAACCAGGCTGACCTCTGGATTCCAAAAAAAAAACAATGGCTAAACGAGCAGGACTCCGAGAAGTGGAGTGTGCTGGGGCCTGCACGACCAGTGAAGAGGTGCCATTCAAGTATCAAGTATCAGGTCTCAAAACTCATTAATTAGCGTCTACTGATAATTCTGCGTCTGTCGCCCACTCAACCTTCAAGGTAGACTCATTATCAGTTGTGTAGACGAGCAAACGGATAGAACACCTTAGTTTATAAGCCTAATATTTATTGAGGATGTTGAGAATAAAAAGTTAAAGATACCGTTTAACACGAAAATTGTCAAAGATAAGATGAGCCTGACACTCGATACGTTTGAATAACAACCTATGGACAAGATTAGCGACAGAATTCCTTAGGACGTCAAACGTACTGCAGAAGACCACCGACTCGACGGTCAGAGTTCTTAACGAAAAACAAAAACCTAAAAGATATGATATCCAACAAATTCCTAGAGCAAGCAAAACCCATCATTGTACTCTTACACGCGACAGGAAGAAATGGAAGATTTACAGGTGATCTCATTCGAGTCACTCAACGAACAACGTAACGACACGTGACAGGTGATAGTCATCTAATTGCAGAAACTCATACCATTCTATCTCACGAATACCCAAATGTTCCTTGATCGTCTAAGTATGCGCATCCTAACAGCGCGTACGTGACTGAGTCTTTCGACGTTACCTCACTTTATAGTAACTAGTCGAATGACTGCAATGCATGCCATCCATGCGCTCTCTATGCAAC